ACAGACGATGTGGGAACGGAATGGAATGAGCAGTTGGTATGAGCACCCTTCCGGTCATATAAGTGTCACTAACACCAACTAAGTAATGCGATGTACATACTACATTGAGTGAAAGATTCATGCTATTGCCATACTTCATGCAGTGGATTATTTGGGGTTCTTCTTTAGTGCTGTTGATCATGATTTATGTAGTCTGTATTATTTTAGTGTGTTACTATGAGCTATAATACCGTATAGTATGCATTATTAGACCGTACAGGAAGTAATACTTAATAACGTTTTTGGGTTAAAGGGAACATTCATTATTATCGATGATTTTGTTTCGATATATTGATATTTTTGTTTTCCGATCCGATCCATTACAAATTGACAACAATAGCTAACTGATCTTGTTTAGGCTAAAATAGTCTAATATATGGATTAAAAAATGAAACTGTTCCAAGCTAACCTAACATAACCAACCAAACTTGCTGTACCATTTAAAAATTCCGTTTGGGTTTGATAATAGAAAAGGCAAGTTAAACACGGAATTTTTAAATGTTACAGCAAGTTTGGTTAGGTTATTTTTTTAGAACAGTTTCATATACTGAACAATATTTATCGTAGTTGTCAGCTGATATGTTTCAATTTGTTAATATCGATGTATCGAAAAAAATCATCGATAATAATGAATGTTCCAATTAACAGGAAAGTACCCATTTTTGTTTGGCAAGCAGCAATTCAAAACAAAGGGGAACGATCAGCTAATCTTAGCCTGTTATAAACTATAGGATATTTTTAATGAAAACTCCTAATTTGAAATTAGTTTTAGAAGATAATGCTTTCTGTAGTTATATGCGTACAAACCTTTTTTGCAAAGTAAATGCGAATTTGCAATGTAAAATAACGCAACCTTTTTACATTATTACAGTTTTAGGGAATAAATGTGAATGTGAAAAAGTTGACATCTGGCCAAGTAGAAAAGTACAAACAAGATCATCTGAGTATAGTCGCATCATAAAACGCATACTATTAGTAAGGGATATTTGTAGCATTATGGCAGTACAGTATTATACTGCACTAGGTATCCTTCTGGTAACATATCTAAACGGGATCACTTCATAAAAAGTTTCTGCCTATGACGTTGTCGTGTCTAAAAGGACCAGTTTTTAGTAGCAGTTAACGTGGAAGTTTTACCTTTTGTATTGCAGATAGTCTTATTGCTACAACTCGTATCTTGAAAGCAATATACTTGAATGATAAAACAACAGATTCACAAAAAATTTCCATAAAGGCAATTCAAATATTAAATGATTGAAACCAGTGAACTGTTACTTTTTAGGTTAACTATATGTGGATACAATGACCATATGTGATAATTTGTAAAACAGGTGAACGCCAAAGAACCTGTACTAATATCTCCAGACTGCTTACATAAAACAACAGCTGATGAGTTTAAGTATCATTGATTCACGTAAAGCTGGTGGCGATAAGGAATGTATAACGAAACAGCTGTTGTTGTGTATTTCAACTTTGATGAATGCGTTAATCACGATTAGGCATATTTAAGGTAAAGAAAATTTTTAAAGCAAACCGGGCTTATTGAGTAAAACGTGATTGAAAGTATTTTCTACCGATTTTACAACATATAAAGCATTTTTCTTGGTTGGAGAAAGCTTGTCCCAATCCTTATAAAAATATATCGGCACATACTTGTAAAGATTAACAGCTTATCCCCCAGAGCAGTAACGTTAACCTCTGGCAGTTATTGTTATCAGCTGTTAGAGCCCCATTACGATAAGCCCCCAAGCTACTTCGATATAATGCTACTACAATCTTTTGGTGTTAAACATTTATGGAAAGATCCTGCACTTTCATCATTGGCATCTTACAAAATGTTTGTAGCTAAAACGTATGGGATAGTGAATACAAATAAATTATTAAGTACCCCATAACTTGAGCTTGGTATTTTTTTTACCCGAGAAATTGAAATATAACACTAACTTTTACCATAGTATAATACAATCAATTTACAATTATATTTACACATATACATTCAACAAACACATAAAACATATAAATTATACGTTCATAGAAATTATTCAAAACTTACTGTTGCTGCAAAGGAATAACATATGATTCACAAACATTCTAAAATCCATTTATTTATTATTTTTTAATTACCCAAAAAAGTAAACCACCTATTTCCCTTATATGCAATGCTGTTATGAAAGTGTTATTTTGCAATGTTAATCGACAAATTATAATCTTTTATTTTCAAATAATTGGCCCATATTCATGCATTGTATTGAATGTTGATTTGTGCTATTTCAAATCCAGCTTAACTGCAAATAATAATGGTTTGTGATGGAATACTAGAACTCAACATAAATGCATCTATGAGGTACTGAGTTCTAAAACTATTAGCTAATTAATCTATTAGGACTAAGATACCACTGTAGTTTCACACCGTAAGCTGAAAATGGATGAATCTGGTTTATATATAGGTAGTGCAATGACCTATGACCACTTTTACCAACTATATGTATCTTCAACCAGTGCCACTATTTAATCAGATACTAGGTAATCTTTGCCCATAAATCTTGGGGCACATCAGATTGTTCTAATGAGCAAGGACTTACCCAGGAGTGTAGGAGGACAATATAGTCGTAGGAGACAGGACAAGTCCGGCCATGACCTGAGCCACAGTCATCTCACCAGCCACACCCATCTATCATACTTGGCTACGGTAATCGTCTCCTGCTTTGTCAAGATGAAACAATGCGAGGCTTCGTGTCCGCCTGGTAATTAGTCTCCTTAGTGCCTCAAAAGAAAGGCACACGCTTCTTAGGTGCTGAAACCTTAGTTTGAGAAAACTATAGTTCATTTGACTTGCGAGGTCGTCAGAAGGGGACAAGCTACATTAATTGTACAAACCAACATTTTGTTTATTCAAATACATTAATGGTTCTTTAACCATCTGAAATCCTCCGTTACTAACACTATTAATATTTGGATCAACATTATTTTCAGATATAAAATACAGCGAATAAAGGGAAACCAAAGTCAAATGGTGCATTTTTCCATTGTAGGCCTCCACCCCTGCTTGCTTTTAACGTAATATATTTACGATATAAACAAAATGATGTGTATAACTATAAGAACAAACTTACCATAAACTTTGATGTAAATGAGGAAGGAGCCGCACTCAAAACAAAGTTAAAACTTTCCACACCAAAGTGGTAAAGTCGATTATCAAAAAGATAAACACCTTTATTGTTCCTTCGTAATTATTGTTACTTATGTAATGTCTTTGCTTTATATTTCAGGCTTTCTGTTTACATTATGTTTAATTCTTGACCATTCCCATGTATTTTTATCAAAGCTATCCATATTTATAAATCTAAATCTACTCAATATTACCCATCACTGACATGACTAACTTGATTTATAGGCAACAAATCTATGTTTTGTATGTCAAAACTTCTCAGGGAGAAATTTAGTTTAACAAAACTGTTATACGCTTGAATTAACCAGCAATAAATTTTAACTGGTGATGGGGACATACCACAAGATTTCAAAAACGAACTATTAAACTGATGAAATAGGTAGTTTACAGTATAAACTATGTACTTTGTTTATTACAAAACCATATCCATATTGATACACACCTGATACCAATTTCATAATACCCTTATTGTAATTTAATGTTAGTAGAATGATTTGAAAAAAGTCATAAATCGTAGGTTATGGATTTAAACCAGAAAATCACACAAAACACATACTTGTTGTTGAAGGGGATCTCAACCAATAAAACCCAATCAAATGTTTAATATGTTTTCAGGCCTAGTGACAGTGTACATTTATAAAGACGAGCCTTTGGAAAATAAATACGTTCCAGACGCAAAACGAAGAACAATTTTCATTATTGCCCATTTGCCAGTCAATACAGACGGTTCATTACCCGCCATCGCTAAGCTTTTACAGTTGAACCTCTATAAGACGAATTTCAAGGGGTACGAGAAAAATTCGTACTATAGAGGTACTCTTAATAAAGAGGGTCGTTTTATCGAGGTTTAATGCTGCTGTTATTCTTCTTATAGAGGTTTCTCCTCGCTCCAAGGTTTCTCCAAACAATGACTGAGGAAGAAGGAGGGATGGGTGGGGGTTTCATGTTGAGACAAGCTTCTGTTTGTTTTTAAAAACTACGTACTATGGAGGTTAAGATTATGATAAATTCGTCTTATAGAGGTCACGTTCGTCTTGTAGAGGTTTTGTGCTAAGAATATTCGTTGTATAGAGGTTAATCAGTCCTAGCCCATGTCACAAACAAATTCGTCTTATGGAGGTTTTTACTTAATTACTACGTTGTATAGAGGTGTTTTTAGCATTGACCTATATGAAAGTGTCAATGGGATTTTAAAAAATTTGTCTTATCGAGGAGTTCGTTTTATCGAGGTTCGTACAAACGAGGTTCAACTGTAATCGTGTTTCGTAAACGCCAATCTCTGGATGAGTTTTCTCTCTGTTTTAACTGGATTTTTGTATTGAATTCCCTTTGAATGCAGATTCGCCAAGTACGAAAATAGATACTGTACTTCTACAAAATGTAATGTAATATGTCAAAATGTGCATGAAACAGAAAAATTACATTTATATGTTTATTTATTTTATTTATTTATTTTAGGTAGAGAGGTTTTAAGATTCCCCACACAATCAACAAAATCCTTTTTAATGTCAAGGGCCTACTTCTAATATTTTAAGCCGTTGGTATGTAAATAAAATAAAAGTGACATAAAAAATCCTAAGTTGGGTAAAAGGAAAACTAAGTATACTCATAAATCCAAACAAAGTTTTAAAATTTTTGTTGTCTAATAACTTAAAAAACATTCAACTTAATTTTTTGATTAGTATTACTAAGAGCATTTGTTTTAGAAACGTAATCATTGTATATAAATAAAAAAAATATTTTTCACATTATTGTTTAACCTAAAGAGTTAACTAATATTTATAATACTTACACGTCACTGGGCTTTCACATCCTGAAAAATAAAAGTTTATTAATTATTGTAAACATTTCTAGAAATTATCTACAGGTATTAATTAATACTTACTATACATTATCTTAAACATATTTAGTACAATAAGAAGAATAATGACATCGTTCCCATAGTTTTGTAGTGGGGCTATAGAATACTTGAATACCATAGCCCCATCGTAGTCCATTGCGCTGCTGACTAAGCCACCAAGTCACCAATGCCACACAAGATATACTTTAGTGGCTGAGTGGAAACTATTTATACACAAATATATGATCTTCATCATGAGTTTGCTACGTTTCTTCAAATACATTTAATACATGTTTTTAATATCCGAAAAATGAAAATGAAATGTAAAACATCTAACTTGTTATGTTTAAAATTCAAAAATAAACCTTATCTCAAAGATATCCTCAACCCGTATTTTCTTCTTCCATTACAGTTTGCTAAAACGCAATTAGTGATGATAAGGGCGTTAACCTTAAACAATCATTAATGAAAGTTGCTTAAAAATAAGTATGTTTATCAGAAATCAGGAATCAGACATGTCTCTTTTCCATTTATCATATTACATTACATGAAATAGGCTTCTTCATACAATTTATATATTTTTCCTTGGACGCTAGGCACGAGCCCGGAATTGTTTTTCACATAACTTCAGGCTAGGCTTAGGGGTTGCGACATCATCACTTAATAGAATTCATTGGTGACTTGGCGAAATTTGGACCCGGGAGCTCAGGGACTGAAGTCCCGCGCTCTAACCACTACACCAGTTCGCTCCACTGTCATACACTACATATAAATGTATCATAATACTCAAGAAAAGAAAGTCCACCCATATAACAATCATAAACCTGTGTAATAGCAATAGGCCTACGCCTGAAAAAAAAATCTTTGCCAATTCTAACGACAAACTCATCTAGCATCACAGGACAGTCTAAATACCCAGTTAAACAATAAAACAACTTTTTTAATAGTTAATCGTGAATTTCTTTTTCAAAATTTACTGGTGCAGTTCTACCATATGAAGAAAGTGTATTAATATGTAAAATGTAGTTAATTTTGTGAGATAACCCGGTTTTGGCTAATTTGTGCATTGGGATATCAAGTCTCACCTTCCCTCTTGTGTTGTAGTTTGGGTATTGCTATCTCTTGCGAAAAATTATTGTAGCTTTTTTTTGAACAAATAATGTACAAATTTACAACAAAGACTTTTAAGTCTAAAAAACAACGGACAACAGTGATCCACAAGGCCATTCTTACACCTATTGCGAATTGCTTTATTTTAAATGTCTTTTGTTTCTAAGGATGCCCCCATAAAAGGAGACCGTAGGTTATATGTGATTCCAGAAGTCCAAAATAAAGTACTGGCCAGAAACAAAATCAATTAGTTTCCAGATAAAAACTAATCCTAATAACTAACCCTGGATATTTTTTTACATATCGCTTCTAAAGAACTTTATACTTTTGGGTAGATACTTTTGGATAAAATGACTTAGTCAATGAAATGTCAACTAGCATCATGATAGTTAAACGAATGTAAAGTCCTACGTTTAAAAAAAACATGTAAAAATCTGCCTGAAAAACTTCATTTGAAATGGTGAATAGAGTTTGTTTCAAACAAGTCACTTCATCTGTTGAATTGTTTATTATTTAAAGCAATTAATTGAAGTCATGACAACAAAGAATCATCCGACTGTTTTAATCAACTTTGATTTAATTTGTTATGACTTTGCAAGGGTAGAGTAAATAATAGGCTTTAGCTTTGAGGAATGATTTCTAAATTGGATTTTTTATTATAAAATCCACAAAACTGACAGGAAAATTATAAAACAAATGTATTTCAGTAAGTCTACTTACAAATACAGCTTTGGTCACTTTCCTAATTTTGGTTATGAAAACATAAAACATAAAAAAATGAATAATATACGTAGATAACAATTATTTGAGTTTTTGCATTAACAAATAATTTTACTGATATTTATGAATAGTTACGAATTAAGCCTAGTAAAAATAATTTTGTGTGAGTTTTTTTTCGTATTTCGTTTCATTGAAAGACTACCTTTTATAAAAACAAATTATTTCGAATGTTACTATTAAATCTTGCATGGTTTGTATGTGTTGTAGGATTACATATTTTATTCAAAACAATGGTTTACATTATTTTAAAGTTAAATTAAATGATAGGTGAATTTAGTTAAGCTAAAACATGAATGATACTGCTGAATAGCATAGAGACTTAGACACAAAGACACTACTTTAAGGATGTATAATGATATAATTGTTAAAGCTTTGTATCGTTGAAAGCAAATTTAAGGTTGTAAAGGAAGTGACCTTTTGCAGAATTTCGTTACAACCGTGTCGACCTTTCCTATAACTAAGTTACAGATACAACGGTTCAGTAGTTTCCCTTGTGAAGTTTTGAAACAAAAGTTACCTGAAAACTTTGTAAGTTGAAATATACATTGTTTGTTATATAACATAATCATTGCCACCCTTAAATGAGCCATTCCTGAATAATGGGATCATTTATTAAACATTATTCCGTGATGATTTGCTTAATACGAGTTTTTAAAAGTTAAATCAAGTTAAGTTTCTGGTTAAGTACCTATTCTGTACGATTTTTTTTTTTTTTTTTTTTTAGAAAAAAGCTTTATACACTTCATTAGTTAGATGTGTAGTTTAAAATTAAAAAGTATATTTTTATCAAATATACTGAGCTAAGGTTTTTGAAAAGTATTTGAAATGGTAATGGTCTGTTGGTACAAAAGCTGTAATTCATAACTGAATTACTTACTAGTTTATCACACTTTATTGGCTATATTGTATGAAAGACGGTCAGTATTGTTTGTCATATTATTGAAGATTTTGAAAACCATTTTCAGCAAAGTAGATTAATCTGAGGGTTGGGGCTAAATGCCTTAAGAAGCAATCACCAGTAATACCGGAACCTACGTCGATAAGCTAGAAAAGGTAGTATTGAAAACTTTTGGAAGGATGAGTATACTTTTTTCTCTAACAAAAAGCAATCAATAAAAGTATACAAGTATACTCATATTTTCATAATTGAATTATAAATATATTACATGTATTGGAAGACTTATGACTATAAGCATGGATTAAATTTCAAAAATATACTACCACAATACATAGAGATGCACGTAGAAATGTTGTAACAATTGGTGACAAACTGACAACAAAGGTTATAATGTACATAAATATCATAATTTTAGTTTAATTATTATTTTCCAGTATAAATTTATACTTTTTTAATTTTCAATATTAAAAAATAGTTAAAATAACGGACAATGTCCAATTATTATGTCATAACCAATGAAAGTGCGACAAGTGTACTTTTTAGATCGTATGAACGATTACAAAACCCAAATCTAATTTCTAAGATTCAAAGAATTCCTCAGTATTTTAGTTTTAATAAATAAAATTAAACCTCTACGAGTTAGACTACCAAGAGGAAAGCGGCCCTTGGGACGACCACGACTTCGCTGGAATGACCAAGTGGAAAATAACTTGAGACGATTGGGGGCAGAGGCACAATGGATGCACGACAGAGAGAGATGGTGAAGCATTTTTGGCGAGGACAAAAACCTTCCAAAAAGAGGTTTGAGTGGCCTAATAGGTAAGGTAAGGTAAGGTAAACTTCTACAACAAGTCTTTCAACGAGAATATGACAATACTTAAATGGTAATTTAGATGTGTACGGTTAACAATATATTCTTAACATTATACAATTAGCTAAGACTATATAATTCGTTTATTTTTACGTTTGTTTTTAAAATGTCCTTTGCCTTTTGATCGTAAGCCAGAGGCTAATCACATCCCGCATGTTTTAAATTCAATTGACTTCGACCCTGGGCGAATCCCCTAGCCCACTTCAATAGAACTCCAGCTTTATAAGCCAGAAGTTGTTGCAGTCAACTGTTAGTAATAAATGCGTCTTTTGACTCACATCTATAAATTGAATCCAATCTGAAAGCCAATTGGTAAGATAATATAGTTGAAAAGTCCATACGTGCACGGTAGCATTTTTATATTCTTTTTAAAATTTTCGGAAAATAATTCTTTCAAAACCTAGTAACTTTACGAACAAATATTACAATTACATGCTGACAAAAAATAGAGGGCTTCCATCGCACTGTTAGTTACGATTAATAAGATATCGTAGGAGTAAGAAGAATCGATCACCAATAACTTGTATGGAGTAATTTTAAGGACTTGAGGATGAAACTAAAGATTTTCTACCTCTAGGAAGACCTAAAATATGATAGAACGATTAGAATAGGTTTTTAGGATTAAGGGAGTTGTATAAGACCGAAGGTGTATGTAGTATGGTAGGTCAAAAATAGAATCTAATCTGCGCTCAATTTGCTATTACAGGTACAATATATTATAGTTAGCATTTTAATTACATTTACACAAATGAATAGCGTTATAGAATTATAGATGTGCCTTACAATATATATAAATTATTTTGAATAATACTTAAATTGACCCCATTCAAGACCTAAAAAAATATCAACGAGTAAAAGAGTTACTCTCCCAAAGATACAAAGGTAACATCTGGATTTCTTTTTATCACCTGATTATCAGTTACCATTAAGATGAATCACAAAACTTCTGTGATAAATTAGCTCTATAGCGATCAGGTTTTACATATTTATTTACTGACATTACTTTATATTAAGAGAGTTTTGGTGAAAAATATAACAAAACCAATTTAATACGATAGGTAAATCAAACATAAATTTCCCAATTCAAATGTTTGAAATTTAATTTGATTTCTTATGACCAGGACGTTAATTGGGAACCCTTATTAAACTCTGTTAAAGTCAAAAGGGTTGCAAGCATAAAGTAGATTTGTATTGGGCACAATATCACACACACCAAGCTTAGTAATTTATCTACTGTAATTTATGTAATACATCTATACTTATTTAATACGCAAGCAGGATTTTTGTGACAATTACTCCTCCGAAACTACTGAA